GCTCACAGCAACCTCAAACTCTTGGGCTCAAGTGATTCTCTTGCCTTAGCCTCCCTAGTAGCTGGGACTATAGGCACCCACCCAACTCCCAGATATTTTTTGTTTAGCAGGCTCAGGCCGGGTTTGAACCCACAAGCCCTGGAGCATGTGGCCGGCGCCCTAACCACTGAGATATGGGTGCCCAACCTCAATACCTGTTAAATGTTGTTAAATGAATGAACAAAGAGGAAAAGACTAGATACACTAAGTACTGCTCGGCTATGAAGCAAAAGGAACTTTCTGTAGAAGTCACCAGATGCTTACTGCCTCTTTCCTGTGTCTGAGGGGCCAGGATAGGCACGAAGGATGCTGCAGAGGTTCACATTCCCAAATGTTCACATAGTTAAAGTGCTTTAAATATGGTCCAGCACCCTCACTGTGGCCTGGCAGAGGAGTTGGACACCTGCTTTGCAGGTAAAGAAACTGGAACCTAGGTCCAAGTTTCTGCACCTCATCAATGTAGAACCCAGAGCCAAGCTCATGTTTGTCTCAGTGGATTCTCCACATTACTCCTCAAAGATCTTGCAGCTTCCTTGGAAAAACAAAGCATAACCACCAACTGAACAGTCTAGTACAGCACAAGAAATGTCTTAAAGCAGAATAATAAAATCATTGCTATAATAACAGTAATTAGAGCTATTGTTTCTTTGAGTACCTAGAGCCATTTTAAGACTTCCATAGGCCCAAGGAACATTTACTTATAAAGCCACATTCAACATCATATCAAGCATATTAAAGTATATTTTCATCTAACAGTAAATATAACATTTTTACTCTGTGATTTATTAACAGAAATATAAAATTATATAACCTTGACTCATTTTATGTATAACAATATAAAGATTGAACTGAAGTATATTTGACAGTGGGTAAGTTATGTTTTAAGAATTTAATTAAATAACTTTAATTTTGTGATTTACCTTTTAGATTTTAAAGCCAGTTTTCTATTAATTCTTTATTTTTTATTTTTTATTTTTTTTTATTGAATGGTAACTATGTACATTAATGCACTTCTGGGGTACAGTGTGGGGTTTTCACATGCAATCTGAAATACTTCCATCA